ACAAATAAACATTGATCACATCAACCAAGCACATTTTCCTACTAAAGTTTATATAGTTCAGCCATCTTACGTTCGATAGATCATGAATTTTAAATGAAAGATAAAGGATAAGTAAGATCCCTTTTCCTCGTTAGAGATGAGTTGTGCTCACGGATGGATTGAAAATACCCATGAATAATGAAAACAGTTTTAATCGCCTGCCAAGAGCTGAGCCCCTATTTTTATCCTTTTGGGAGACCACCGTATTCGTCTCATCAGATATTGCGAATTACCTTTATCCCTTCATTATTCATAAGACCCGGGGCCTGTCCAGAACTGGTGTAGCCATGTTTCATTTACCTCCAAAGCATTAGAACGATACAAATTCATTGAGAAAAGAAAACGTTATGTTATTTATGGACCAATCTTTCTTGACGTTGACATACTACTTTTGTCTTTTTCTATAGTCAACCNAGTCCAGCCGCTTCCTTGGCTAAAGAGTCAGCAATGCGATTACCTTTACTCCTGTCGTGCCCTTTAACCCACCTCAGGATAATGTTATTATCTATGGATGCTTTAGCTAAATCTTGGTAGAGGTGTGTCTACTAGCCCCATATTATGGGGGTGTTTTCTTAGTTGACAGTGGCTAGTCAAAAATCCTACTGTTAAGCGTAGATTTTTCCTGGTCATCGCTAGATATTTCTTCGGCGACAGCTTCCCAGGGTCGCCCGGGTGATCCTGGCAAGATTGTATCATTTGATTTCATCCCATCTCTTCAGGGATTGATCATAGGTATAACATTTGGCTAGTTCCTCAATTGTCGAAGTCATGAGGCTGTAGGTGCCACGGGGTCCTAAAATTCTTAGTCCAGCCGCTTCCTTGGCTGAAGAGTCGGCAATGCGATTACCTTTACTCCTGTCGTTCACCTCAGGATAATGTTATTATCTACCGAGGCTTTGGCTAAATATTGGTGGAACTCTATCTAGTACTAGGCCTGAGGTAACACGTTGTCTGTTTTAGGCTAATAAGGCTTGTCTGCTATCAGTGTAGATTGTTATTTTTTTGCCAGAAATTCCTTTCCTGGTTATTTCTTTTGTAGCAATTGAGATTCCAGTCAGTTCTGTCTTAACCACGCTGGTATTTTTTCCCATTCCCCACTAAATCCTTAGGCTTAGAGTGATCTGGAGTATACTCCACATCGTGAGCCTTCTTTGGTTTTTGAGTCGTCCATGTATATGCGTATTGCATTTATAGCATCTGACTCTGTGTTCTGTTTCATTTGTATTTTGTAGGGTTTGTTAAACACAACCCTGGGTTCAATCGCATCACTGGTTGCCTACAGCAGAGGTTGCGCAGTGAGCGCTTTTCGCCATAGGTTCAGCCTCAATTGACCCATTTCTACTTTGAGGTTTATACCAGCCGTGTGCAATAGTAACATGGCCATTAACGCAACTTCCTTCAGACAGACCAGTAACTAGTTCCATTGCCCCGGTTAGCGTTATTCTCATGGCTCCTGTAATGTTCAAACAAGCCAATCGTTGTATTTGATATAATTTTTGGATGACCGTTGCTTGTAGAACTTTCGGGGGGGGGGGATCAATCCTCCTTGATTCCCCCTGGCTACGGTCTTGCCTACTAGTCATTACAGTTACCATTCACGAACTAGGTGAATAAAACATTTCAAGAAAATGCGTAAGGGTAGTGGAAATTTACAAATGAAAAATGCAAATATACAGTTGAGACGGTCCAGAAATCCCTTCTAAATATTTTGTTCAATCTGACTTTCACATCCCAATACGGTTTTTGTCTCATCACATCAACAGAGGTTATAAAATATTCATTTTAGAAAGAAGAAAAGAATTAATGAAATTTTACCTAGTTTGAAGCAGGAATTCATGAGACAACCTGGGTGCCAACAAGAAAGGCGGTAATCCAGATTACTGAAGACTGGCAAATTTTTTCAGAAGCAAAGCCATACCAAACAAGCCAGTAAGCCAGTGAGATCAACCCCACTTCACCAATAATTTGATAACAGGGGTTACAGAAAATATTAGACATGTCCATCACAAATTTCAAAAAACAAAACAGTTTTTGATTAAAGTGACAATTTTCTTAGATTTATTGTGGGGCACCGATTTTCGAGCTTTTCGACCTTTCCAATATGGTTTAAAACATCAAAAACCTTATGGAGGCTGACGCCTAAGTCTTCTGCCATCCCACGCATTGCCAAATCATAGTGGTAAGTGATGTGATCAGAATTTGTGAAGAAGATATATTCAAGAAAAACACGTGTTGGAAATGAAAACACTACCATTTCATTATACTTGATAAAAGCAACAAGCTCCTGAACTATAACTCAAAATAAACTTTATTTAGGAATACGCTTCCACTGACATGTTTACGTTCAAATAATAGCTAGTAATGAACGTCGAGGTTCAGCTGTCATGACATGTGTAGCGAATCAACAGCGTAATAGAACAATAAAATTAATTAACAATACGAAAATTTACGGTGGGATTATTCTATTTCTCTATTTACGACGAACCTCGTTAAATACAAGGCGCATTTATCAAGATAGATATGGAACAATTCTTTACTTTTACCCATTTTGAGTTTATGAAACACATTTTCAGGACTACGACTAAGAACTGAGAGTTCGACCATAACAAATCAACGAGAGTGTTTATGGAAACTTGACTCAGACTAAGCAGCACTAGGAACTATGACCAGAAAGTTGGCCCTCATTTAACCAATAATTAAAACCTCAAAATGAAAATGAGAATGCGCCAAAATGGAAATATTCACTGTCACTGACCCGAAACATTTCAAATTTGTATCTATTATAAATATGAAAAAAATGAACGAAAGAGTGTTGAACATTTTTTCATTCATACGGAATTATTTTGAGTGGTACAGAAAAAATCAAATGAAGAATAATTTTGGTTATGTTAACATGTGCATAAACCGAACGCTATCCTAGGTATAGTCTTTGTTAATATTTGGAAAATATCAGAATTCTATGAACTTGAGTTTTCTCTTCAAATTATTAAACTACTCAGAACTATTTCAACTAATAACTTTTCATATCAAACAAAAAGAAGAAAGTCGCTATCAGTATGCATAATGGCAGGGCATGAGTTTTCATTTACTAAACACGTGTATGTATTCAACGATGAACTCAATTTTGATGAAAATTAAGAAGCAGAATTGTTTCATATTTCAGTAATGCAGTCACTAGACATAAGAATTTAATAATATTTTGTATTTCACACTTTGCTAAATGTTTTGTAAAATTGTAAATTGTAATGTAGACATTAGACATGAGCATTCAAAAATACTTTGTAGTTCCTCACACTTTGTTAAATTTGTCTTTGTACATTGGCTCTGCCGTTGAGTAAATTAATAAATACATAAATGGTTATTAGATTATGTTCTTAGACATTGTTGCATGAATATACACACTATTAGACCCGTTTCACAAAAGATCGTTGATCTGTACAGATGATCGGTCGAAGTCAACCATCAAGCATTTTTGACGTTTTTCGCTATTTTATAAACAACGCAAATATAATAATATACCTTTAAGAAAATGTTGATTGATTCAATCGTTGTTTGTATAAACAAATGCTAATGACAATTGATAAATAATAGTTACAAATTTGTTGAAAAGCTCATATGGAAGATCTATCAATTGTCTATAAAAATGTATTCAATGTTTATTTTCATATCTTTAATAGTTTCAAAGTTATATTAATATTTTAGTTTACAAATCGAATTGTTCATGCAAACTGATTTTAAATTGTGGGGGTGAAAATTGTCATCCCCAAGACCCTTCGAGCAGTCAAAATTTCCCAATTGATAGTAAACTAGATTCAGTTGTTGGTATTCTGTGAAAATTTAGTGATGCTATATTTTTTTCAATATAGAAAAATGATTGCTTGTTGAGAAAGTTGAAATTAACAACCCTACTCCTCTTAGGCAGTCATAATTTTTCATTACATATCATACAAGAATTAACTAAGAATATTCACTGAGAATTTAGTGATGCTAGAAAAATATGGACAAATAATTATTTGTAAAAGGGGTTGAAATATACATCCCCTCCGACCCCTTTGGCAGTCCTAGTTTTCGTATCGTACAAATATTCCTTAATTTTTCTATGAAAACATCTGGGGGATTTTATTGGATCCTTTCAAATTTTGGTGATATGAAAACTTCATTTCTATTGGAAATACTAATTTCACGAATTATATTAAATAACTCCACTCAATTTCAAAACAAATGAAATGATAACGTTTTGCAGTGTTAAATTCGCGTTCTCCATTTCTTCCAAATGTAAATCAACATTATATTCGTAAGCCACTGGTGACGCGTTCGGCCGTTTCCTAAAATTTAGTGTGCTAAGTAAGTTTGCTGTCGTTAGACCAGTTTTTCAAGATAATAATTTTTAGTAATTTTCATCCTCTGAGGCGGTCTGGAAACCTCAAATGTAATATTTCTATTGCTAAATCAGTCACCACGAATAACTTATCTCAATCTGTTAGGTAGGTTATCAAAATAAAATTTTCGTGATACTTTTTTTTGCTCCGTCCTTCCATGCTCCGCCGTCTCTGGCGCACTAAAACGCTCTAACTTGCACGATACTTATTATTATTTCTACAGTCCACGTCTACCCCCTCAGACAACCTAGAAAACTCGGACAAGATTATCGCCTTAATTAAATTTTCATGACACCCTTCCTTACTTGTTCCACGAAATCAACAATGCTTGCTATCGAATAATACCCCAAATGAATATATTTTTAAAAAGTATTGGATGTAGTGTATTCAAAACACCGTAAAAATATAATTTTTGAATAAATAAACTAGCGAGATCTCGATTGTTCGTAGAGAACGTTGAATACCAAAAAAACCTTAGTACTTTTACCTTTCATTCCCGTGAGTTGGCAAAACTTTAATTTCCATGAGTTGGCAATACATCAAGATGTCCCGCTAAAAACAATTGCAAGTTTCCACGCCAAAAGACGACGATACTGCTTTGCAAACAGTTTCGTTACTTACAAATTGAAGAAAAATGGCATCACCACCACCACCAATACAACCAAATTCAGTGGATTTCTTAAATCGCCTGATTGGACATATTGCTGTAGTAAAAACTGTGGATCATAACCATTACGTTGGCCTCATAACTAATGTGGATCCGGAGAACATAACAATGACTAATAGCAGACTCCGTACAGGAGACGACTACGGTGAGTTATTTCATTATTTATTGAGTAGTATTTGAAAACACAGGGAAAGTGTAAGTACAAAGATAAAAAACTTGATATCATCTTCGACAGCGATCCCATTCTGGTGCTGCCTGAATAAGGATAGAGAATTGGCGGGAAGGTTCAACATATTTCAAGGGTTGAAAGTCGCTATCAGTATGCATAATGGCAGGGCATGAGTTTTCATTTACTAAACACGTGTATGTATTCAACGATGAACTCAATTTTGATGAAAATGATAACGGCGGCGGTATTGGCAAGTGACAGGATATTCTTATTCGTTTCTTTCCAAATAATTGACATGCGAAATGTGGCCACTATTCGTAAACGTTCTAAAAACCATTCGAAAAAGAAGAAGCTTGCAAATGGATGCGAATCAGTTGAATTTCTCTCTCTCTCTCTTTCTTTCTCTCTCTCTCTCTATGATAATGGCTTTTGCTTCCATTGAGGCGTATAGCTTACCTAATTACTATCAATTTCTTATCAAGTGACGACCTTTTGTAAAATATCACCACATTACAAATAAAGGTGGATGGAATACACTCATTTTCACTTCCCGAATCCATGTTTTCCTCCTGTTGTATGTTCAGTGATTAAGTTTGATGTTTGACGAAAACATATTTTCAAGCAGGAAATTATCGAGGCTCATTTGCATTTCAGAATAATATATAGCTTCGAAGGTAATGAGTTATGAATTTGGTCAACTGCGATTGGTTCGATGGTGTGAGTTATGGATCATTTTGCCTACTCACCAAAAAGACATTTTTTAAAGTAGTCCAAGAAAAAATATTTTCATACAGCGCGGACGAAAAAAGCCTGCCCCTCTCAACTTTGGAACGGGACACGACAACAATGTCCTATAAAATTAAAAAAAAAACATCACCTTTAGTACGTTTTGACAAGAAAAAAATGTGTTGCATCACTAGTCGCCCAGAAGGTGCTACTAACGTTTTTTCTATGTTCTACTCAATTCCTGCCAATAATGGAGTTTGTTCACAGATTTATTTCTTACATTAGAAAATATTCCTGGGGTGATATCGTTTCAAGCAGCTGTTTATCTATCCACGAGTTCTTAAATGAACTGCGGTTGTGAATCAAACACTTCCGATAACACGTACCCCCTCAAAACATCTAGAGGCGTCATATCAGGTGATCTAGTGGGTCATTCTGAGGGACCACGTTTACTTACTCTACCGATATGGATAATTGGCAAATCCAAATGAGTTTTCAACTGATGTTACGTTTCAGCAAGATGGGGTACTTCTTCATTATGAAAGGCTGGTTCGAAAGTGACTATAAATACGCAAAAATGGTTTCTTAGAATTGTCCATCAGTTCATAGCGCCCACAAATTGTTTGTTGATCATTCGTGAAATCTAAAGTGAACGTTACACAACAGCAGCCTAGTTCAGTGTTCAAGAAATCACCCTATACTCTGTCCATCAAGTCATTTTCTTCGACTCCTAAAACTTGTACAGTTAAAAAGTTAAGAGGAGTGGGGGCTTTCATGTCTGCAGTGTATATCGGTGTTGATGATTAGGCAATCTAACACTCGTTATGTTGTTGAAATTGAACCTTTCCTACATGTTTTTGGACAATTATACAAGTGTTTTTTTCATCATATATCACTATTTTTTTATACACATTTTTTATTTATACACACATAGAATAATTAACTTTAATATATTTTATATTTATAC